AAAGAGAATTCAAACTTGTTTATTACGACTGCGTGTTTCCATGGTATTCCAGTAGTAAAAGAAAAATAGACCGTCAAAATGTTCGGCCCGGCGAATGGATCAAAACGGCTCCTGATGCTCCGTATAATCCTACTGGTAATTCTACGAAAGTTATGTATCGTAGCAATATCCCGCGTCCGTCATCGCGTTAAACTTGATTTTAGGGAGACGCTTCGCTCCTTTTCTAATCAATATTTAGATTGTTGACGTGGAAAATATGTATTGACAATGTGTTAGCAAACATAGTATAAGTTATTTTGGTATCATGTCAATAGTATTAACTATGGAACATCAGATCGTAGTTCTGAGTGGATAAATGAGATGTAACATATACGTGACCGTATACGTTAAGTTAGTTAAACGGAGACAGTTGATCAATATTAATATATGACGATTCGAACTGATCTAAAGAAAGGCCTAAGTAATGGTTTACATGAAATCCAGAAGACCAATATCATGATATGATATGATATGATATTAATATGATACAATTTCTGTCTTATTAACAAATGAATAGTATAAAAGCGAAATCAGGTGATGATGAAAGTTAAGACAATATGAGTACAATTACGCTCGCAATAATTGTGTAAACAGAGTTTTCCCACCATCACTTTTTCACAGGAACATATCGCTTAGTACCAACTTTCGGCTCCATAAGAAAATTCTTGTTATGATGATTCCGGCTTGCGATAAAATGTTCCTGTAATTTGAATAGAAAATTGTATCTTGCCATATGTAGCAAATAGCCCACAGTGCGTGAGTCAGCTGTTTCCTTCTGAAACCCCTTTAGTCCTTCGATGATAATCAGTTTCTTCAATGGGGAAGATGTGTTTAATACACTGCCTTAATTAATGACGTTTACATACAATTTTAGTACCAAGGTTGCGACAGTCAGCTGTATCTATATTATACGTGCAAATAATTTTGAGTCCCAGATACAATCATATCTTTCCATAATAAATAATAAGTGATGCATATAAATCCAACAGTAACAATCAACATAATAATAACTTATAGACTGAGAGTAAGGCTGTATATTTTAGCTACAACAAACTTTTTAATCTTGAAGATTGAACCTGTTATCAATTAATTACAACATGTTTATTTTAATGCAGACCATATTTATTATGAAATTTCTTAGTAGCAGTTAAGCAAAGATGTAGTCATGGTGCTTCAATTTCACACTCATAGTTTCCCTCTTCAACAGACTTTGTAAACTCCTTTTGTATATGTCTACACATTTGTTCCAAATCAAGTAGCCCTTTTTTGAGAGCACTAATTGCATCTGTGTTGCCTATATTAATATGTAGTAAAATCAGAACATGAGAAAGCTGTCGGCAAGGTAACGTTACTTGGAATCTGGAACCACTTTATACATACTCGTTGTCTGAATTCTCAAGTGAAGTTTTGTTTCTGACGGGTGAGGTATAGAATAACCACAGTATGTGACTTCGGGACTATCATATCAAGGCGTTAACTAATCATTTCTTACAATCCATATCAACGCAAAAAGCCAATACAGTCGTCTACACACTTTTTCATTATTATAAATCTTAATGCATTTCCAAGCGTGTGATCTTCATTCTTTATAACGAACGTGATGGTACTCTTATCTCCATTAGGGCCGACTGTCTGAAAAGATAGACGTTCAAGCAATATCTGATACGTGATCGCAAGACGTAAACAATAAAAGCGACATGTAACAGAAAAACGGGGCCTACAAAGTCAAGCTTGTCTGGTGTGAGCTCCAAATCATCCACAATCAAAGGCGCATCTCTCGGACTATCAACGTCCATTGTCAAAGCATTAGGTGTGTGTGCGATGCAAGAAAAATCTTTTTTTGATGGAAAATATCGATTTTGACCAATCAAATTTGATATCGTGCATGTGACCGAAATTATAAATTAAACCAATCGCGCATAAGTCTAAAGTATACTGTATATAGAAACTCTCGTGTTTGCGGCGGCAATGTAGTTTGCTGAAAGTTAAAATGTTTCAACAAATCTATATGCATTACAAACTATCAGACGCTGGACTGCGAAAGCGTGTGCCAATACATCACACATACAATATCACAGGGAGCAAAAGATTCGGACAACGATATGCTTACCAAACACTGTCGTTCCACGAAGATTGAGGTTTTTTCTGACGTGGATTTATTTAATAGACACGATAGTCTTTGGTAAATTTGCAGTTATTTCTATTCTGATGGTTCGAGACGGCAAAATCATATTATAACTGTTCGAGGAAACAAAATAACTCAGATTGTGCAGAGGCAGCCAAAGTGTAAAAATGGTGATGACAATTAATTTCCTTGTCTCTTATTCCTCTTCCTTTTAACCGTTACTGTTTCTTTACTGATCTCTTCCTGTTTCAACAAAGTATCTTCTTTCTTAATCTTGATTTTATCCTCGTCAAAAATTAAACCGTTGCTTTCGATCCCAACAGCATCATCAACCCTTTTATAATATCCGGCAGACTCACTCTCTTGCTTTACAACGACAGCCTCCTCTCGCGGTACCTCATCACTACTTTCGTCCTTCACATTGTTATAATGATCATTGTCCTCATTAACATTACCTTCACACGCGCTCGGGTCATATACTATAAAATATGTTCTCCCACCACCTCCGACGTCCTCTTCGCCGCAATCGCTATCAGTTTCAATGTCGTTTCGAAGGATCGCAAACGGATCAGATTCTTCTGGCTCATAATCCGGAACATCGGCAGGGGTATCGGCATTGTCGTAAAAGTCAGTGATATGGTTACATTTATAGTTTTCGAAAAATTCTGCAACATGGCGTTGTTTATAATTTACGAGAGTGCGCTGATAACGTTGCATCAAAGCAAAGCAACGGGATTTGATCATGTACGGATCTGGCTCTATTTCAAGAGTAGCTATCTTGCGCATCAATTTGCCTATCCTGCTTTCCTGATACATGATAAACGTTTTTTTGTAAACAAAGAGTGGGGTGAAACGTAGGTAAGCAACGGAAAAAACGGGTTGGACTTTACTTTTTGTTACCTGAAGCATACGGACATTCGTGCGCGTTTTTTCAATTTTTTGAAAAACTACATTGACTTGCTCCATGTCCTGCGTAATTGTTGTACTGAATGAAGTTGCCATCATACGCTTTATAGACAGTGAGGGACAGGGTACTTGCCTGGAAGTCGTCTCTCACTAGTCGTTTCAATGTCTGTCGTAGCACCAGCAGACGCTGGCCCGCACCTTAATTATACATTCGTATTAGTTTTCACTTTCTGTTGTAATAATGCTCATGTTAAGCCATACTTGGTCTAAGAGTGTGTCGCGTTTTAGGCATATTTAATATATGGCAGGCAGGTACAACTTTTAGAGAAAACAACTTTGATCCAGAAATTGCTCGATCATCTGATAAACGTGTAGTCAATCACGAAAACCAACAACTTGATTCATCACTTGAATACAGGAATAGCATAACGATAATCTGTTAAAAAATTCTACACACTAGTGATGATAGTATATTGGAATTATGAATACGTGCCAACAGACACACACAAGAACATTTCGATAATGTGAGTTTATTACGATTGTTCATGTAACGTACAAATTAGGCGACCCTCGTAAATTATGTCAGTTATACAAACAACCCTAGCAACAACAGCCAGTTTCACTGTCTCTCCAATGGTAAGTTCTTTTTCTGCCCTCTTCCTCTTTTTCCTGTACTTTCTACAATATTTTTCTTTCTCGAGACAGATCGTGCAAACACATTTGCGATCAAGCTTGCGAACGCGCTTACACCGAACACGCTCGTGCTCAAATGCTCTCACCGATTCAAAATTTTCCTCTTCCTCTGAAAACTCTTCCACTCACCCTTCTCGTACGAAATCGCGCACACGACAAACTCGTAACGTCTCTCTGGTAATTCCTGATTGCAAATTGGTCAAGCTTCTGTCGACCGACGAGAGGAGATCGAGGAAACGAACGATGGAAGAATAAAATGGATGACCTAAAAAAGAAAACAGATCAGAAAAGTGGGAGAAGACGACGAGGAAGCGGAGATAGATATAGAAGGAATTGAGGAGGAAGAGAATGTAGAGAAAACGCATCAAATTCTGTAACAGCATATGTAATACCAGCCCAAGAAGATGGCATCTCCTATAGCATCAGGTGTAATTGTTGCAGTCGTAGTATAAGTAACGACAGAACCAGCTACAGCAATGGAGGAAAAGGCGGTCGAAAATGCAATAGAAGAAGCAGCTGATGAAGTAGCTACAGGGTCTGTTGCAAAGTCAGAAGTAGAAATAGAAACCGATACTAGAGAAGCAGATGAAGTTGCGCATGCAGTAAATGGGTAAATGATCAATTATATGAAATTAAAGCTAAAGCTACAGCTGAATTTAACCCATCCAGAAGAGCTGCTGCTAAATTATTACTTGGCTGTGCGGTTGTGGCGGGGGCGTATCCACTCCATTCCAAAGTGGAGAAACTTACTTTCTTCCCTCCGTTCTATACGAAATGCGACGGTTCTTATCTGCGGACCCGCGGACGAACTGCGTTCACAACGCTATGACCGATTACTTATCTGATGAAGCAGTGGGTGAAGTTGCAGTTGAGGCACCCATGAAATAGCAAGGAATGAAATTACGGAAGTAGCTGGTGAAATGTCATAGACGATATTGCGAACGAAGTAGCTGATGAAATGTCGGTTGCAGTAGTTGATGAGCTCGCTCACGAGCAGAGAAACAATGGCTGGGGTATTGGATTGTGAAATTGTGGATGAAGGTACATTTTCTTTAAGGCACCAGGGTAGTAATAGAAGGTCTAAGAGGGCAAGAGTTGTTTTGGATGGCGAGGAAAGTGACGATTGGACACTGGGAAAAAGTGGTGGGGAAGAGGATGGTGATGGTGAGTACGAGAACGAAGAGAAGGATGGAATTGGAGCGGTTAAAGAAGTGAAAGAAGTATGAAGAGGATGAAGAAATGCGAGACAGTGAATATGATGATTCCGACCACGGCTTTCAACCTTCCGATAGTCAAGGTACAGAAGCACGACAATTGGGTTGAACGTCTAAACGTTATAGTCCTAATTTATTTCTACTTTGTAGTCCCTGCTTCATTATCGACACTTGTAAAGGAAATACGTTCAGTATCTTCATCAATAATAAAGAATAAATAGAGGCCGCTTGACGCTGCATGGAAACGATTTGTCAACAAGCTGTTACGAAATGTTGTATCGTGAGTAGCCGTTGAATTTTTGTTCTTTATGGGCACCCTAACAGAAGAGCGTTCATGATTAGGCATGAGAGAATAGTTGTGTGGGATGAGAAGTACATTGCAGAGAGTCTTATTGTTATCTGTTTATACTTTCTCAAAAGTTGTCTTGACCCATGTAAACGGAGCGTCATGGAGGACGAAGCTGCAGACTGAACTGGACTAGTTGGTTTTACGGTAAATAATGGCAGACATGTTGCTTTCTTTTTTGCTGTCTGGCAACCCAATAGAAATAAGTAAATCTCTGGATACCGTAACTGTTCCAAAGGCTACAAACCAACTAGTAATCTCGATTACAAGACGTTATCTTCACATCATGTATATCCTTGCGTTCATTGTCGCGTCCGCTGTATGTTAAACGATTTTTGTTAATATTACCATTATTACATTAATTTATATTTACAAGATCTTGAAGCTTACTGGTACTGGAAACGGGGCCAATAAAAAAATGGAAATGCAGTCGGAGAAAGAAAAGCAGTGAGCATCTTTGCGTTGGCGGGGAAGACTAGACTGCTATACGAGCAGTCTTTTTTTTATATAGAAGAATCGGAATTTTAAAGAGCTTGCAAAATGCTAAAAAGTCGGTCGATTCAAGAAATCGATCCTTGAAGGTGACTATAGTCGTATTATGTATAAAACGTGTGTTGTATGTATGTTACCATGAAATCTATTATTTGGGTCAAATTAAATATTAGCTTCATCCCCTATTGAAGGTCCGGATGAGCTTGTTGATTCGACAACGACTTATCAAACAATATCTTACTCATGTGACTACAGACGTTCCATTAACCGTAAGTGTGGAGAGGATAATCCAACTTTTCCTCCGTTTCCACCCACATTACTAACAATTCCTATTTCTATTGTTTGCCTTCATGCGTCCTTTTTAATTAGTCACCATCGTTGCCCGATCCATTATCCAATTTTAAACAGACTCTTCTCAGTGGATGCTCACACCTCCATCGATCCAGTCATTGATGGTGTATGCGAAGCTGAGAGACAACTATGGTGCCTCGTGAATAAAATCTGGCTTAGGTGAAAAGGTTTTTGGTGTTGTTAAGGAAGTTGAAGAGAGAATGGTAGTACAGGAGATAGTTGACGTTCCGTAGAGTATTGAATGTAAATAATAAAGATATTCATTAATAACCAGATTGTGCCAATAGAATTGTTAGCAAATAGCCAGATTATTTCGTCATTAGCTACTAGCCAAAATTGAATAGTATCACTCTTCTACAAGATCATGTAGAATGACCGATATCTATGTTGTATTAATCACATTGATATTTTTCTTTATTGAACGCTTAATGTGCACTCTTATGTTATTTGGTATCTTTTTTTTAATCCTTCATATGTTTAGAGTAACTACATCAAATTATTGTTATTAAAAGAAGCGTCATCGCTGGTGCAGTGTACGATAAACAGAAATGTTTGTGGAATGGTCAAATCCTAGAATGAGCACAACAGGAACACGTTAATCTACCTCGACTCGACTGGCGTGCGCTCGAACATAAATATCACTTACTAAAAGCAAGGGTTAGATTCCTAAACTTTGCAAGCTTGTAAATTAATTTATTTTATGTTACATATTAGTATTAGTCCTGAATAAGAAAAACCAAAATTCAGAGAGAGCAAAATTAATCGATTTTTAGAGGAGTCACGTGTACGTTTCACTTAACTTGCACTACTGATCACATCAAATTTGCAGGTTGGCACTTATTGTCAGACGTATAACGTCTGTGATAAAATGAAATGCAGTTTCGATATATATAATATACAGTGCCTTCGGACAATCGAAATTATTTTGTAAATAAACGAAGATGCGTTGTTTATCGTAAACGCGTCTTTATTTTTAATTAAATTTTAGAACAACCCATTGTTTACTCTCCACACTCTTTTCAATCATGGTTAACTCTAGACTAGAGGCACAGCAATCCATTACTAGCTTAGCGGCGTCCAATCCGCAAAAGAGATACATCAAAAAACTAACATTCCTCTTCGTACTGTCACCTATAACCTTAAAAAAATTGAGCACAGAAAAGGAAATGGACGTCCTTCGAAGGTTACACAAAGTGTCGCTCGCGCCGTCGGACAATACGTGCATAGGAACTCTGCTGTTTCAACACGAAAACTTGCATTAAAGGTACAAAAAACACAAGAAATTTTAATTTCACATGCTGCTATTTGGTGGCATATGAAAAAAATTACAAAAGCTCTGTACGCTGATGCTCACTGACCAGCATATTGAGATATGGAAGATATGGGCATCGGTACACTTACGGGACAATTGGTGCCGAACAATATTTACTGATAAGACAGCATTTGACCTCTTTCGAAATAAAGTCTGTCCATGGCATAAAAATGGTGAAAAACCCATACGGCAGTTGCCAAAATTATGACAAAAAAGTGATGGCATGGAGGGGGTGGGGTATTTCGCGAAAGGGCAAAATGCCTTTGTTCTGCTTTACAAACACAATAGATGGGCCCATTTTAGTAAACATTTTACATATCAGCTTTTGCCAGCCGCCCACGTGTCGCAATAGCCCAGAATTGAAAACATATGGCACATTATAAAAAACAACGTTGAAAAACGTATGCCGAAAAATATTGAGGAGTGGGATGCGATCTCAGATGAGACAGTGAATAATTTGGTGCTATCAATGGAAAATAGGTGTAAACTTGTTTTGAAGGAAAATTGGTGATAGAATTTCATACTGAAAATTTTATGAGTATGGTACGCCAACTCTATACTCGACAAGTGTTTCAATTTGGAGATGCAGTGTAACGAAAAATTTGTCCAATAAAATTCACTAATTTATTGAATAGTATTCTCATTACAACAATCCGAAAATTTGCAAGAAAGTAATGGAGATATATGGATGCGTATGATAAAGGCTTAGAAGGAGGATGGCTGGATGGACGGTAAAGAAGTATAAACCACATCATCGATTACCAGATAACGTTAACGAATTTTTTGAATAAAGATTTTAAATGTTATTTGGTTTCTGTTTCACTTGAAATTTTGCCTCGATTTACTTATAGCGAGAAATTAATCGTCAAAATCAATAAATCTCACGTCTCACAGGTTACACAAATTACCAATTGGAAATGATCGCTTCCACTAGATGTGTTTTCAATTTTTCGGAGACGCTTATATATTATTATAAAACGTACAGTGGGTGACCAAAAGTCTCCGACCACCCCTTAAAATTTTCGTTGATCATGCATAACTCCGTAACGAAACATT